AGGTACAAACTTCCAGTTATAAAAGAAATAAGTCCTGGGGATGTAATGTATAGCATGGTGACTATATTTAATAACACTGTATTGTATATCTGAAATTTGTTAAGAGAGTAGATCTTAAAAGTTCTCATCACCAGAAAAAAAAAATTTCTAACTATGTGTGGTGATGGATGTTAACTAGACTTATTATAGTGATCATTTCACAATATATGCAAATATCAAATCAATATGTTGTACACCTGAAACTAATATAATGTTATATGTCAATTATATCTCAGTAAAAAAAAATAAAAAATGTAACACATCACATTAATAGAACAAAGGAAAAAAACCACATGATTATCTCACTTGACTCAGAAAAGACATTTGACAAAAACAAACACCCTTTCATGACAAAAACTCCTAGAAAACTAAAAATAAAAGGAAAATTCCTTAACATGATAAAGGGTATTTATGAAAAACCCACAGCTAACATCATATTCAATGGTAAAAGACTGAAAGCTTTCCCTCAAAGGTTAGGAACAAGACAAGGATGCCTGCTTTCGCTACTGCTATTCAACAATATACTGGAAGTTCTAGCCAGAGCTATTAGACAAAAAAGAAAAAATTAAAGCCATCCAAATTGGAAAGGAAAAGCTAAAACTACCTCTATTTGCAGATGACATGATCCTAGACATAGAAATCCCAAAGAATACACAAAAAGCTACTAGAGCTAATAACAAATTCAGCTAAGTTGCAAGGTACAAGATCAACACACAAAAAATCAGTTGTTTCTATACACTAGTAATAAATAATCTGAAAAGGAATTAAGAAAGCAATTCCATTTATAATAGTGTCTAAAAGAACTAAATACTCAAGAATAAGTCTTACTAAGGAGGTGAAAGATTTGTACCCTAAAAACTATAAAACATTGCTGAAAGAAATTAAAGAAGACCTAAATAATAGAAAGACATCCTGTTTTAATGGACAGGAAGACTTAACATTGTTAAGATATCAGTTCCACCCAAAGAGAGCTACAGGTTCAACACAATCTGTATCAAAATTCTAGCAGCCTTTTCTACAGAAATGGAAAGGCGATCCTCAAATTCATATGGAATTGCAAGGGACCCAGAATAGTCAAAACAATCTTAAAAAAGAATAAAGTCAGAGGACTCATACTTCCCAACTTCAAAACTTACTACAAAGCTATAGTAAGTGAAATAGTATGGTACTGGCATAAGGACAGATATATATAAGCCAAAGCAATAGAACAGAGAGACCAGAAACAAACCCTCACATATATGGTCAACTGATTTTCAACAAGGCTGCCAAGACCATTCAAGGGGGAAAGGACAGTCTTTTCAACAAATGGTTCTGGGAAACTGCATATCCACATGCAAAAAAATGAAGTTGAACCTCTACCTTACTTCACATATAAAAATTAACTCAAAATAGATCAAAGAACCAAATGTAAAAACTAAAACTATAAAACCTCTTAGAAGAAAGCATTGGGGAAAATCTTTATGACATTGGATTTGACAACAGTTTCATGGATATGATGCCTAAAGTGCAGGCAACAAAAGAAAAAATAGATAAATTAGACTTTATCAAAATTAAGAACTTTTGTGCATGAAGGGTTACTAACAAGAAAGTGAAAAGACAGACTGGGAGAAAATATTTGCAAATCATATGTCTTATAAGGGGTTAATATCTAGAATATATAAAGAACTTCTAAAATTCAATAACAGAACCCAATTCGAAAATGGGCAAAAGACTTGAATAGACATTTCTCCAAAAAGATACAAATTACCAATAAGCCCATGAAAAGATGCTCAACATTAGTCACTAGGGAAATGCAAATCAAAACCAGAATGAGGTACCACTTTCACATCTACTAGGATGGCTATAATTAAAAACAAAACAAAGCAAAAAATAGAAAATAACAAGTATTGATGAAGATGTGGAGAAACTAGAACCCTCATGCATGGCTGGTGAGAATGTGAAAGGGTGCAGCCTCTGTAGAAAACAGTTTGGCGGTTTCTCAAAACATAGAACTAGCATAGGACCTAGAAAGCAGGGACTTGAACAGATATTTGTACACCAATGTTCATAGCAGTATTATCCACAGTAGCCAAAAGGTGGAAACAATCCAAATGTCCATCAATAGATGAAATGAATAAACAAAATGTATATACATACAATGGAATATTATTCAGCCATAAAAGGAATGAGATTTTGATATATGCTACCACATGAATGGACCTTGAAAACATTATGCTTAGTTAAATAAGCCAGACATTGAAGAACAAATATTGTATGATTCCCCTTATTTGAATTACTTAGTATAGGCAAATTCATGGAAACAGAAAGTAGAAGAGAGGTTGCCAGGGAATGAGGGGAGGGAGGAAGAGCGATGTTTGGGATGATGAGAAAGCTTTGGGTATAAAGAGAGGTGATGGTTACACAACACTGTGAACGTATTTATTTATTTATTTATTAAAAAAAATTTTTTTTTAATTTAATTTAATTTTTTCCCCCAAAGCCCCAGTAGATAGTTGTATGTCATAGATGCACATCCTTCTAGTTGCTGTATGTGGGACACGGCCTCAACATGGCCGGAGAAGAGGTGCGTCGGTGCGCGCCTGGGATCCGAACCCGGGCTGCCAGCAGCGGAGCGGGCGCACTTAACCGCTAAGCCACGGGGCTGGCCCAGTGTGAATGTATTTAATGTCACTGAATTGTATACTTACAAATGATTAAAATAATAAATATTATGTTATGTATATTTTACCAAAATAAAAAAATTTATTTACCCAAAAGAAATTAAAACATGTCCACACATGTCTATAAATGTTCATAGCAGCATTATTCATAATAGCCAAAAAGTGGGAATAACTCAAATGTCCATCAACTGATGAATGGATAAACAAATGTGGTACATTCATAAAATGAAACGTTATTTGGCAATAAAAAGGAGTCAAGTTAAAACCGGGGAAATTCTAATAAGATTGGTGGATTGTATCAATTTCAATATCTTGGTTGTCATATTATACTCTAGTTTTGTAAAATATTACCAGTGGGGGATTCTGGGCAAAGCATATAAGGGATCTCTCTGTATTATTTCTTACAACTGTATGTGAATTTACAAATATCTCAATAAAAATTTCAATTAAAAAAATTGTTCCAGAGCTGGCCCAGTGGCTTAGTGGTGAAGTGCGCGCGCTCCACTACTGGTGGCCCGGGTTCGGATCCCAGGCGTGCACTGACGCACCGCTTCTCCGGCCATGCTGAGGCCACGTCACACATACAGCAACTAGAAGGATGTGCAACTGTGACATACAACTATCTACTGGGGCTTTGGGGGACAAAAAGCAGGAGGATTGGCAATAGATGTTAGCTCAGAGCCGGTCTTCCTCAGCAAAAAAAGAGGAGGATTAGCACGGATGTTAGCTCAGGGCTGATCTTCCTCGCAAAAAAAATAAAATAAAATAAATAAATAAATAGTTCCATAAGGTGACACTGGCTGTGACCTCAAAGTGCCCAGTAGAAGATTCTCCTAAAATTTTATGCCATAGATCTAGTTACTAATAAGTTTTTGAACTTGCCCTTAAAAAAGAAAAAAGGAATGAAGTATTGAGACATACAACACAGATGAACCTTGAAAACATTATCCTAAGAAGCCAGTCACAAAAAACCATAAGTTGTATGATTCCATTTACATGAAATATCCAGAACAGTCAAATCTATAGAGACAGTATATAGATTAGTAGTTGCCTAGAGCTGGGCAGGAGGGTTGGGGCAAATGTGGGGAAAACGGCTAATGAGTATGGGGTTTATTTTTGGGGTGATGAAATGTTCTAAACTTAGATTGTGATGATGTTGCACAATTGTGTGAATATACTAAAATCTATTTAATTGTATGCTTTAGGGCCGGCTCCGTGGCTTGGCGGTTAAGTGCGCGCGCTCTGATGCTGGCGGCCCGGGTTCGGATCCCGGGCGTGCCCCAAGGCACCACTTCTC